GGGAGCTGGGGGGTGAAATAGGATGCAAACCCAGGAATAAAGTAGGGCAGGAACTGCCCTCCCAGGAAGGAAGTGGGGTCACCAGCAATCGCATTCTGCAAGGCCTGCAGCTGGGTGGGATCCACATGCGTCTCGCCTACAACTTTGCCCAACACGGAAAGAGCAGATGAGATTTTTTCCTCTTTTTTGGGGTGTTTTTCAGGTTTGGTGGCCTCTAATTCCTCCTCTTTGATTTTTTTGACCTTGTTTGGCTTACTTTGCTTTTTCTCCGATTCTTTGTTCTGTGGCTCGGTCTGCTGTCCTGACAGAGAGGATGGAGGAGGAGGAGGAGGAGGAGGTGGTGGAGGTGGTAGAGTCTGCAGCAAAGGTTTGGTGGGGGCACTGCTGAGAGACAGGGCAGGAGACGAAGTAGCTGAAGTAGGAAACCCAAGCATGCCTGCACCGGGAGGTGTTAAAGCTGAAAATGACAACAGAGAGATGCCCACTGTCAGTGCATGGAGCCAAAGGAAGGCTGGACGCTTAACTCTAAATAGAACTCACTGCTGACATTGCCACATCCCTAAAGATTTAGTCCACACATTACAAATGATCTATTACACACTAGGAAAATCACCTGCACCAGCTTCCCTGCATATGTCATATCCCTTATATTCATTTTAACCCCCACCATAACTCTAGGGAATGCCATATGCATAGTTTAGCAACATTTTACTAGGAAAACAAAGGCTTTCTCATATTATAAAAGACAGATGGTGAGAAAAAGAACATCCTGGTAAAAAGAACAGTGGTTTCTTCTAATTGTTACACTTTGCAAGATCCCTATTCTGTTATTCATTTTAACCAATTTTCATTATACCTCCGGGAAGGTAGACCCACTTGTCCTTCACTTGAGCAGTGTAATAATTACCACGTTCACTAAAAGTAATTAGCTATCAAATAAAATGAAATCTATCTGCCTAAGTTCCAGTAGACAAAAGCATTTACATTGAAGAAAGAAGGTGATAGGCTAATTAAATAACAATAGTAAATGATCACTGAAGATAAAAAAACCAAATAGCAAAAAAAAAAAAAAAAAAAAAAAAAAAAGTTACCACTATTCATCATAAGGACTGGGCATGGTTAAGCATGATTTCATTTTTAGGGTACAGGTTAAGCTACTCATTACCATCCTGACAATGTGCCTAACAGAGTACTTGATAGAATTTGAATATATTAACGCTCAACTTTATCACACCCAAAACATGATGCTTCTTCAAGGTTTACTTGTTGTACATAAAAATGATTTTCACCCCATTAGAGAAGGGAATTCAGTGCTCAGTAGGCAGACTCACATGGGTTAGAGTATGAATCCTATTGTAATGCAAGAAATCTTTGCTAGGTTTCAAGTCCCCAATCTAATGTTGTGGTTGGTAATAACCTATTACAAAGTCAATTTTATGAGCTGGATAGTTAGGTGAGAAACTAAATGTCAGCTCAGGATAGAAAAGGGAGTTATAAAAGTCTGTGCCTTTCCTAAATATGTTTTCCAGAAGGAAATAAAGTTGATTGCAAAAGGAACAGACTGGGTGGGTGGTGGTTCATTCTTGACTGAGAGAAGGCTAACCACTAAATGATCAGGACAAGGACTAAGATGCAGGCATGATGGGCTGATAGGAGAATTAACCAGGAGAAGGTGAATGGAGTTTAGCACATAGTTGTAGAGAGAATGATTATAGATTTAAGACAATCATCTTTTTACTACTGCTCAGTCTTACCTGCATGTTAAATGCAGCACTTGGGTGTTTAAAAAAAAATTTTAAGCACAGAAAAATTACATGCTTCTACTTCTGTAGCTAGGAAAAAAAAAGAACAAACACAACCCAAACACAACTTCGTTTCTTCATTGGTCTTTACCCAGCTGAGAAAGCTTTGCTTAGTCTTAGCTTGAATTCGGATTGCTCTGAAGTCCTTAACAGCACTCTCAACTTCACCCTAATCATTATCATCTCACTGTCAATTAGTTTAGCTTATTACTAGCTGCTCTTTGTAACCTTACCACACCCAACTCTTCTCTGACCTGCTTTGAAATAAGTTCTGTACTCGTTTCAGTGATAGTCTCTAAGGAATGTCCATCATGTTAGAAAATAGTCTCCCAAAATCCTCAATGGTAACTACAGACAGATGCTAAAAATTCCATTTTTTTAAAGAAAATTGGTTCCTTGAGCTGCAAATATTCAAAATGAAAAAAAAAAATCTTTGAAAGTAACATTGTATCTCAGGGAAAAACTGATAACAGTATCCACATTTTTACAGAAGGGTGGCTGGCACAATTGAAATAAATTTAAATGAAAATGACAAGATTTACAGGGTGTGGCAAGAATGAATTAATAAATTCCCTGATCTTTAATCTAATTTAGTATGATAAGCTTTGATTACTGGGACTTACACTTAGCCCTAAAGAAAACTGTGACAGAATGGCATTGCTTTTGGGGGCCCAAACCTTCAACTCCCTGGCCGTTATTCCTACACTGATATATATGCCTGGTATCTTCTTTCTACTTGCTTCTCCATAAAATTTTATTTGCAAGAAAGAACAAAGATATAAATACACCTATTCCTGAAAAGGCTTCATATATACTAAATTAGATAACTTGAGGTTTCTTCCCACTATGTTATTCTGATTTTATGAAATTCTATGCTAATTTACATTTAACAGAAGATAATACATTAAGTCAAAGAAATTACTATCTAATTAGAGAATTTCAAGCATGCATGATTTAGGTGGAAAAAGCTTTACTAAGGAAAAAAAGATCCATCCTTACATTGTTAGAATGATATTATGTTGGTAGCAAGCTTCTTTGCCTACGCATAAAGCCAACTTTACTTCTAAGTCTAGTATAATGAGACTTCAACTCAGTAACTGAACCCCTTCCACCCGTGCTTTTCCCCATAAATCTAAAAATTGCCAGCTCACCTAATCTCTGTGCCATGAGAATTATAGTCAAATTTTAAGAAACTAAGGGACTTAACAGCAATGGTCATTAAAAAGTAAGACAGACCAATGGTTGTTCACTAGGCTTTACCATCATATGGAGTCTACAGGTTCCTATCTAGAAGTCATAAAATGAAGTAAAGGTCATATAATGAAGTCATGCAATAGTCTTCTAAAATCCTAACTACTGCAGTCAAAACCTTTCAGGGATTTCTAGGAAATCAGTATCTTGAGAATTAAGATAAGGTAAATAATCAGCTGTTAAGTAAAAATTTTAGGAGAAGAGATACCGATTCAGGATACTGAACGATGTACATCAGACCTACTAGTAAAAGACAAAGCCTGTAAAAATTTGTGGTCAAAAGTTCAGTAACCAACTGACAAAGGAAAACCAGAAATAGAAGAGAAAAACTGAGCAGTGGTCACAATGCAGCATAAGATAACTTCTTTCCCATTCCCTGACTCCTACTCCAATTCTTTGAAATTTCACTAAGAGATTAAAGTTTACCTACAGATAATCTCAAACTACCATAATTTTGTTTGGTTTTGTTTCCTTGAAACAGATGCCTATTCCCAAAAGTAATGCTTTCAGAAGAACATGCCTATCTCACAATGAGCTTAAGATGTTCTTTTCCCCACATTTCTTTGATCTAGGCCTCCTAACAGGAAAATTTATTTTTGAGGTGAAAATAAGACTAATTATGGACACAGGACCACAGAAAATTGTGATAAAAGTATTAAAGACTTATTCTTATCTAGACTTACCCTAAATGTGCTAGTAAATTGCAGTGAAGTATGAGAAAAATGCAAAAGGCATGTTCTGAAGTTCCATTTGAGGAAATTGGTTAGGTAGTATTTCCAAATACTCATGGAACATATTTAAATCAGACACTGCTTAAAACAATAAAGTAATATGTTAAAAATAGAAAATCAAGGTTTTTTTTCTATTCACCTTGAGCAAAATGCCAAAGGAAGCTAACATCCTCAACGATAAAATGTCAATTTAAAGTTTTCTAATTTTTTCCAGGTGTACAGGTTTGTCATTTTTCTCTCTGCTTTCCCTTTTTGCACGTGATCATGATGGAAAAAGACAAATGTAGAAATTTTTTTAGGCAGAAAGTAATTCATTTTATTTAAAAATGAAGGTACACGTGATGTACATCACTCTTGAAAGGACCCTCTTCATAATCTTGAAAGGCTAAATAATTTGAAGATTTCTTGGAAGGCAAGAAGTTTTGTGCATCATAAAGCTGGGAAACCAAACAGAGTACCTCCATCCAAAAAAGAGTGAAATGGATGTTTAAAACCAGGAAATTTAGAAGTTGATAAATATTACAACTGAACATGTACATCGCAATTAATGTATACCTCCAAAGGTGTAGCCTTTGGAATCAGACTTATTACTTTACAGTACATCTCATTTAAATTGAATCCCTTTTTAGTGATTTCCTTAGGATCAAAACCTTCAAATTTACATCCAAAGGGATAGGGTATTTTTAAAATGAAGCCTTTCCCATAACTAAAATCCCATTCAAATGGCCCAAGATGAACATGGCATATTCTCAAAGTTTATTCACATAGATAAACTATTGCAAGAACCCAGGGCAAATGAGAAGTACAGAAATATTCTACTTATGAATATTCTACTTTTAAAAATTAAAAAAATTGAAGTAATTTTCTCCTTTTGACTTCACCTAGCTGGTATGTCTATTTCTGCCATAAAGTGAAGGAGGTATTTGCTTGATGACAAATAATATGGTAGAAAGATGATGAAAGAAAGATGGATAAGCACAGCTCCACTCTGTGAGATGCTTAAAATATTCAGGGTTACTCACCACAAGTAAATTAACTTAAAAATAGGTGAACCGGGAAGTTGGGAACTCAGGCTCTCAAATAAGATCTTGCTGGTGACTCCACTGTACTAATCAAAAACTAAGAAACTTAAAAACTGTCCTGGCTGGTGTGGCTCAGTGAATTGAATGCCAGCCTGTGAACCAAAGTGTCACAGTTTCAATTCCCAGTCAGGGTGCATGCATGGGTTGTGGGCCAGGTCCTCAGCATGGAGCGTGTGAGAGGCAATCACACATTAGTGTTTCCCTCTCTTCCTCCCTCCCTTTCCCTCTGTCTAAAAATAAAATAAACAAAATCTTTTTAAAAAAACACTAAAAAAGTAATTCAAGAGAAATTGCAAATTGTAGTAGGTATGTTCACAGACCTTTTTTCTTTATAATACTGTACAGTTTGTTTTGGTCCATGATTTTATGAAGCAACAGATACATCTAGTGCTGAGCTCCTCAATGTCTGATGCATTTAAATATACTGCTCACTAAGGAAGACCTTCCTGTACATCAGCCCACAATTCGGATAGTTATAAACAGTGCCCACATTTCAGGGGAGGATATACATGGTATTTGTGCTGAGCAGAATGAGGACAAAGGTTATGTTGTTTAAGTATTTTATAAACATCATCTCTCTCCTCCCTTCTCACTTTCTCTCATGTGGGACAGTCAGCAAAGGACCCATTGTCCAAGCAAAGGCCTTCTGACCCAGTGGGGAGAAAAACAGGATGCTCTGACCCCTGTTTACAGAGGCATCAACAACCATGGACACCGACACTTGGACTGTTCTTAGTTCATGTAAAGTATCAAATGTTATGCTATTAATATTACTCTCATTAAATGTTACATAATATTTTATTTAATATTTTACATAACTATAAACTTTACATCACTGTTCATAAGGGTTTTTTCACATTAGACTTTATGTGGAAAAACTTTATTTTACATAATTGATAATTCAAGTTTTTCCACATAAGATATTTTTCTATGTGTCAGTTAATAATCACAGTGATAAATATAGTAGGACTAGAAGACTAGTACATTTACATGCAAAAAATAGCTTTTGCATTATTCTTCAAACAATTATATCTGACAATTAAAATGTACAAACAAAACATGTAATCATAGCTCTGATATTTGAAGCTCCAAGAATGTCCAGATATTTAAGCCCAAAGCCTTATTGGGGGGAAGGTACAGGTATGATAGTTCAAGGAAGGGGCCTTGCAACACTGTTCTTGGGGCCATTCTTTCACATGTAGACCCTTTCTGCTTCTCTCTAATGCCAACACGTCACTCGACAGGGAGCCAGATGAGCTGGCCACAGCCAACAGGCCATTTGATAGTGTTGTTTTCATCTGTCCTGAGGTAAAAGTTAAAGTGGGAATATCTTCCTAAGATCACATGGCAAGTTTGGTTTTTTATAAAAGAAGGGTGAGATTGAAAAGTTTGATATTTATGTAAAAGTCCTATTTGTGTAAATGAAAAAAGCTCTGGGTATTTTGGAAACTTTCTAGAAATCTGTAATTAATTAATTCTAGATAAGTCTCTTTAGAATGTCAAAATTCCCCTTTAAAAACAAAAAAAGCCACTGTTAATTTGAAAAATAAAACTTAGTTTAAAGGAGAAATGATAAGAGAACCATTTTTTTTTCTATTTTGGATAATATATAACTTTTATATACCATATAAAACATTTAACATTTGATGATTGTTTGGCTACATGATTGCCTAGCACACTGTATTCAATTTGTTTAACCTAATAGTACTGCATACTTATACTTATTCATGAAATTGAACCTGCACAAATTTCATTTCTTGATGAACACAGAATTGGATTCATCTTCTGGGGTTGTCTCAGAAAGCTTTATAATTTTGTTTGACTTAATTACCGTTGCTGGGGTGGGGCTGAGTGTAGGAGCGCACGGGGTAATAGTAACATATTTCTAAGGTTGCAAATTTATTTAAATAACAAGAAACAATGGATGCTAAAAAAGTCAAAATCTTACAGCAATGCCAAATTGCGGATTACCCCAGAAGTCATATTGTTAGTAGTTAAATTTTAAATATGTGTTATTATGTGTTAGGTGTAATGTGGGTCAATTCCTGAGGCTAGAAGTCCTTAACTTTTGAACTCCTGGCACTTACGTGGTGGAGAATAAAAAACAAACAAAAAACAAACAAACAAAAAATCCCTTGGAATGGTTATAATTTAAGAGACCAATAAATGTATTATTTAATGTTTTGCTTTCTTAGTATTGTACATCAAATATTGAGCCAAGAGTTTATACTGAAACACCACTTGAAATCAGTATTGAAATGATTATAAAAAGAATATTTCTAAGACATATAAATGTAGTGATATAAATAATGAATTTATTTATGTCTTAGCCAGTCTTTATTTTTCTGCATATTTTCAGGTAGACTTACTTCCTACTTATTAATTATAGTCAATAAATTCTATATTTCAAATAATTTAATGTCTTTACTCACTGAAATAAAGAGGGATTCCAATGTACTTTGTTCTTGGTCACATGTGATCAGCTGCCTAATATTACTAATTCATTAAACTGACTCCCCTGGATGGGACTTACTGTTTGAATTCTGTGGGAATCCAGGCAAGGAGGATGGGCCATTCATTCCAGGAAGAAGGACTGGAGGAAGGCCAGGGAGTCCTGGATAGGCTGCTGGGAGGCTGATGCTGTGGAGAGGGCTGCTGTCTACCATGCCTGGCTGCTGCACTGCTAAGCCCAGCACATCTGAAGCTTTCTTGATACGGTCAAGTTCCTGCTGTGCCATTAGCTGCCGAACAGTGGTCGGAGCCAAGTAATCTTTTTCCCGATCAAGTTGACTCCCAACAGTCTCCCTCACTTTTGAAATGTGCTGTTTGGAGAAAATATGATCTCTGATGGACAAGCGGGCAGAATACTTCACCCCACACAGGGTACACTCTGGTTTGGTGCCTTCTGTTCCACTTTGATTGATCATGAAGGGCTTCCCTATGTTGATTTTAAATTTCTTCTCCTTGGCCCTTGCATTCTGGAACCACACCTGGACCACACGTTTGGGCAGACCGATCTCATTCCCCAGCATCTCACATTCTTGCATGGTTGGAGTTCGGTAGTCACCGAAGCATGCCTTGAGAACCTTAAGTTGAAGGTTGCTCATCTGGGTTCTGAAACGCTTGTGACCTGGTCGATCGTTATTTTTGGATTTGAAAGGATTGCTGGACCCAAAAGGATTTGGGGAGCTCGGATCAGCGATACTAGATGTTTCACTGCGGTCGGCATTATCATCAGGGTCATCTGTGATATAAAAGCTTTGGTCATGGTCGCCATCTTTGTCGTTGAAATGTATTGAGGGGCTAGTGAGAGAAAAGAGAAATTTCTCATCGCAGACCTCTGTGGTGGGTGTGGTTGCTGTTTTTGGCAAAGTGTCAAGAGCTTTTGGCTCTTTAGGCGATAAAGCTGGCTTCACATCTCCAGAACTTCCCATTGTGCTTTCCACCTCGGCATTGCCCTCATCAACGGTGGTAGCATCACTGATGGCTGTATTAATTGATGACGTCTCATCGAAATCATTTTTAGTTTGATCATACCCAGCTTCAGCAGGAGGGGCATTTAAGTTCTCAACATCCTCAGAACACTCCGCTTTAAATGAAGAAGGGCTTAGCAGATTCTTGGGTGACAACTCTGCGGTCTTACTCACAGGTGTTGACACCGTTGAAGCTAATTCATTCTCACTTGATAAATCGATTTTAGTTAATGGCAAAGATGGATAATCAAAATAAATGTATTTCTGTGGGCTTTCCCCACCGTCTTCCGTGGATATTAAAGGGCTTGGGGGCAAGCTGTACCCTGCCTGCTTTCCCTCATTCCAGTGCCGAGAGCGGATGTGGCTCTCTAGGGCTGACTTGGCCTTGAACAAGGCTCGGCAGAAGGGACACCGTTTATGAGATTGGGCCGGACCCACTGCCCGGAACTGGCCTTTCCTTTCTCGGGCTCGTGTATTCTGGAACCAGACTTGCACAACTCTTTTTTTCAGCCCTACTTCCCGGGCAATATGATCAAGCATTTTTCGGGTTGGATTGGAATCCAGCAAGTATTTTTCATAGAGTATTTCCAGTTGTTCAGGGGTGATAGTGGTTCTCAGGCGTTTATCACGGTGTTGGTCTTCACCGCTGTTGCCTCCCTCCTTTTCACTGCAGTTATTATCTTCTTTGTCATCCAGTTTCCTTTTTAGGGAAGCAGCGACAGTGGCAGGAGCTGTAGTGTGGGAGGCCCCAGTCTGGGGTGGCAACTGTGACAGAGAACCACCCAGCAGCTGTCCGGTCATCAGGGGGTTGTTGGGGTCGAATATCATGTAGGGCATATCCAGGGGCCTCTCCAGGAATGGAGAGTGAAGGAATTGGTTTTGAGCAGCAAGGAAATGCATGTGCTGGTGCTCCTGCCAGAGTTCCGGACTCGGAAAGGCAACGGTACACTGATCACATTGGTATTGGAGTAACTGTGGAGGTAGACTGTTCTGGAGAGAAGTCATGGAAATCTGCAGTGGGCTGGAAGGGACCGGGGTCTGGGAGGCTGAGGGAGGTCTTCCAATCAGTTGGGGTGGTTTGGGGGGCTGGGGCTGGGCCACTGAGGCCTGCACTGGGTCCGAGGAGGTTGATGCTAAGGGTGGGGCTGGCTTGGTGCCTTGAGAAGGGGGCGAGGGGTCTCTCTGCTTTGGCTTTTCTGTGGGATATTCAGGCTTGGGAGATGTCTTCTCAGATTCTGGTTTGGGTGACGTATTCAGAGGTGTATTTGTCCCAGAGCCAGAACTGGCTGTGGGGGCCACAACGTTTTTGGCTGCATCCGTCTGGCCCGATGCTGTACAATGCTTGTATACCAGCTGGTCGGTGGCATCCATGGAGTCTTCAGTTTGGCTTTCATCTTGAGCATCGTCATCTTCATCTTTGTAGCACTGCTTCTTCTGATGCGTAATCAAGTCAAAGATTCGGGGAAACACCACATTGCACTTTTTACACTGATACTGCATGTTGCTGGTTCGGATGTACCGCTCATTAGTTAGTTCCCGTTTCTCATTATCTTTTGTTTCTGCTTGGTTCTCATAACTCTTCCGTGCTTTCTGACGAGCATTCTGGAACCATACCACGATAACCCGGGTTGGGAGGTTGAGAACGGTGGAAAGTTGTTCTATCTCATCATCTTTGGGGTAAGCATTGGTGTCAAAGAAGTCTTGTAGAACCCTAAGCTGGTAGTCGGTGAACCTCGTTCGGGAAGACCTTTTACTGAACGAAGCATCAGATTTGTAGTGCTCTAAGGAGGAGGGTTGTGGATCAATTCGTATGTCTTCCAAAACCGTTATAGGTGGGTTACTGAAGTTGTACGGAGAATCCTTGTTTCTCTGCCTTTCCTTAAAAAGCGTGTTGCGAAACCAGTGCTTGATAACTTTTTGAGAGAGGCCCGACTTCTCTGCCATTTCCTGGATCTGTTCTTCGCTAGGAGAATTATTGATGTCAAAATAAGCTCTCAGGATTTTGAGCTGATCATCTGTAATTCTTGTCCGTGGGCGTTTGAACTGAGAATGCCTTAAGAAGTTGGGGTCTAACCCGAGCTGCTGCTGGCAAAGTTGTGTGAGGTCTGCAGATAGTGTGTCCATCTGGGGCAGCTGCAGGGCCAGCTGGGGAGGAAGTGCCGGGTGTTGCACAGGCTGCATCATAATAGAAGGGAAGAGGGGGAGGTCCAGAGACACAGGCAGTTGGACCTGTGGGGGAGCAGAAGGTGGAGGGGGAGGGGGAGGAGGGGGAGGAGGAGGTGGGGGCGGTGGTGGCGGAGGAGTGGGTGGTGGAGCTTGTAGGGGAGTGGGCACAGAGCTTGGGATTTTCACTGGCCCCATGGAGGAAGGCTGTGGGGGAGCTGGGGCCAGTGGGGGCGGGGGTGGTGGTGGAGGTGGTGTTTCTGGAGAAGGTGGTGAAATTGGATAAAGCTTGTCATAGGCCTCCCGGTATTGACGAGCAAATCTTTCCAGTGCTCCATATGGGAAAAACTGACCGTGCACATGTTCCTGGTGACTCTTTAAAATGAGAACATTGGAGAACAGTTTCCCACATGTTCCACATTCCAGTTTATCTGAGTTTTCACCCTCCCCACTTTTGCTTTTCTTCTGCACCTTCTGCCTGTTTTCATTATACTGAATGACCAGCTCAAACCCAAAGTTTTCCAGTAATGCTTTGGCTGCATTTCCTCTGGCCCCAGAAGCTATTCTGGGTGGTGGGATGGATGGTTCCAAGGACTTGGGCTTCTTTGAGTCTTTGCCTTCTTTGAGTGTTTCACCTTCATTTGTAAATTCTTGCTTTGGTTTTTCTTGCTTTTCCACACTCTCTTCTGCCTCCTTGCAAGATGGCACATCCTTCAAGGCTGGGCAGTCGGCACTGGCCATGCTGGCTTGGTCTTGTTTCAATAGCTTGCTTGCCTGCTGCTGCTGTTGCTGCTGCTGGGGCGGCTTTTGAGATGGCAGTGGGGGCTGCGGGGCCTGGTACTGTTGTGCTTGTTGCTGTAGGATTTGCAATTGAGTTTGGCCAACATGATGTTGAGTCTGAATCTGCTGCTTCAAGTCTTCAAGCAAGGATCCGGCCATGCCTGTCATGCCAGGCATACCAAACGCAGCAGAGCCCGGCAAGCCCAACTCTGGCCCCAGGTTGAACTCTGTCCCGGGGATGTAGAAAGGAAAGAGAAACTGAGGCTGCTGAAACTGGAGCAGAGCTTCTGGGGTCATAGGAAAATGAGGCAAAAAGGCTGGGTTTAGAAACTGAGGCTGAAAAAATGCAGCTTGCTGTTGTAAATCATGCTGGAGTTGCATCTGAATTTGTGCTGGTGACTGTGGTGGGTGATGTGTAGGTTGTTGAGCAGAGATTAATTCTGGAGTTTGCTTTTTGTTTAACTCTTTGGCTTCTAAGTGGGTATCTTTGCTGCTTGCTGCTACTAAACTCATGGACTCTAACATGCCTTGGCCAGGACTGCTAACATTTGCTGCAATGCCGTGCCCCCCAACCACGTGACCACTTGGCTCCAGCTTGGCAGCCCTGGCCTTTGTCTGGTGGAGCACAGATCGCATGTGGATTTCCAAGGTCGAGCTTTGGCTGTATGCAACGTTGCAGATGCTGCACTTATAGGGTTTGTTATCTGTGCCGCTATTGGTTTCTTGAGGGACAGGACTAGAGGCTTCCTGCAACACCTTTTTCAATTTATGGAGATGAGAAACTGAATTATAATGGACCAAGAGAATGTTCTTTTGGGTGAATGATTCTTTACACACTGTACATTTATATGGGCGAGATGGATCAAGGAATTTTTCCATCGTAAAATTTGGCCCTTTTCTAAAGGGTAAGGTCCGCTTTGGTTCAGAGCCTGTGTCATCAGGAATAGAGCTACTGTCACTTCCTACAGGACTTGCCTTCCCCTCGTGGTCCACCTCGTACTCTCTCTCCATTTCCTGCTCCAGAGCATGCTCATCCTGGGCCATCATTTCACTCTCGGCCCAGAGTTCACCATTCACGGGCAAGGAGGCGTACAGCTGTTGGAGTTCAGCTTCACTCAGCTCAGGATGGCCTGCTTCCAAGTGTTTTTTTAAAGCCTGGAATGTACGGAAACTACGCTGGCAGAGATTACACATTGTCGCAGCCCGAATCACATGATACTGGGAATGTATCTGAAGCTTCTGCATCGTCTTGAATGCCAAGCTGCAGTGGTTACAGCGGTACTTATACACGTGGCGATCTGAAACAGACAGGGGTTGCCTCTTCTGCTGTTCGCTTAATTGATCTTGCAGGGTGTCGGGGATTTTCACATCCTTACTCCCATTTTTGTTCCATTCGGACACTTCTATAGGTTCTTTAGTTGGTTTCTGTTCCTCACTCTTTATTTCCACGCTAACCTTTGAATCGTCAAGACCTGCTATACTTTTGTCATCCACTGGACTTTCACCTGTGCAGGAGAAAGCACAGACACATGGCTTACAGGAAGAAAGGCTAGGTGCCAATAAATATTGGAAGTAGAGCCTCTAACCATTTCTGCTTGATTCTTTAGAGAAGTATTTGCTGTGCAAATACTATGTTGCAAGCACTGTGCTAGGCACTGCCAATACAAAGGTGATAACAAATCACCACTGACCTCAAGGAATTTCAGGAAGTGGAATAAAAGCAGTCAAAGGTAATTATAGTAACTTGCTACAATCAGTGTGGCATCAAGGGCCATTCCTTGCCTTATTGTTCAGGAATTAGAACATACAGAATATTCTTGGTCATAGATACTTGGGTCCCCCAAGAGCTGTGACACATAACAGATACTAAATGTGCATTGAAAACTATGTCTCTTGGAATATTTTCTCTTCTGTGCTTGTAACTCTTTGATAGTAATAACCTTGGAGCTCTACCACAAATGCAAGCCCCTGATGTGTGTTTTCTGCAGACCTTGGTCACAGGTCGGCATACCTGAATATTTCCCAGATGCCTCAGCTGTGACGGCTGCAGGTGTGTCCCTCTCCACTTTCTCGGAGGTGGCTGTTGGCAGTAGCAAACTGTTTGGCATCATCACATCAGGGACAGGCACCTGTGAAAACCCAAGGGGTTCCATCAAATGTACCCCAAAAATCACAGACTCTGCCACGTCCATCATTTGTCCAGTAGCATCCCCCTTAGAGTTTTCCAACCAAAGCAGGGACATTTTTATGGCTCTTACAGACAACTCCTATCCCTTAAAATTTCAGTACAATGCCACTGCAATGCTGTACTCTTTTCTTTTTAAAAAATGTTTGTGTAGGTCTCTTTCTTTATACTGATACACAAGACAGTTTGAAAGTCAACGTGTCCACTTGACTCATTTGATTAACATAATAGGTATAAAAATAAGGCTGTAAAACACGTTATTGAATAATCTATGCCTGTTATCACATTTATTTTCCTAAGCAAAAGAGACAACAAATGGGCCATCGACTGTGATTTCTGTAACAGAGTCTGTGAGCCAGCTTTAAGTTGTGAGGAAGAAATAAATTTCTATCAACCAATAATTGCAGATTTTGTGTTGCTAATTTCCAGAGATTTCTGTCACACATGCATCAACACTTGGTGTCCTTACTGTCATAAGCAGCTTCTCCACACAGTCTGGAGATACGCTGTGCAAATGTGTCAGGTGCAGTTGGAGGTGCATCTTGTTGCTGAGGACATCCTGGCAGAGGGGACAGCAGATGACCGGCTGCACCGAGTGCTGTGACAGGACATGCATCTGGATACGACTTTGGTCCCTACTATTGTAGTTACAATAAGGACACTGATAGAACTGGAAAATATTGAATAAATGTGGCAAATGTTAATGTTATTCTGATGACTTCACAGCATTAGTAGTAACACTGAGGGTTAATTCATTGCCAACGCAAGGTCTATATTTTAACAGGATGTTATTGTTTGGGGCTCTTAAACTACCCGGAACAAAAATTTTAAAAATTTAAAAAAAGAAACAGTTTTATGTAGCAAAGGGGAAAAACATAGTTACCTGTTCATGACAGAATTTATTGTCCTCAGTAGGTTTTGATCTTTTTGTTGTGACATCTTCTTCTTTTGCCAGCAGGAGTGGCTGGGTCACCCCTGCCACACTGACTTTTAGCTCCTTTTCTGGTGTGATTATTCCTGATCCCCCCCCCAAAAGTAGAACACGTCAATTTCAAAAGACTAACAATGTCAAACTTGAAAGATTCTATGATTTTCATATAGCACTGACTCTAAAGCCACTAAATCACAAGAGGAATCAGACACTTTTAAGTGATGCTAATCTTAAAAGGTAAAAAGCACACTTCTTTGTGTCTACTGACTAAGTGGACTTTATAAATATATTTTAAAATGTACTCCTGTCTCATGTTTAGATAACCCTAGGAGACCTTGAAAGACTCATCAATAACATGTGCTCTCTGGTGTCCCGGGCTGCCTTTATCTCATTAAAGCAAATCTACTCCCATTCACAAATGCTAACATAGAAAATAATTATTTTTACTAACGTTTAATTCCTTACTTCTTTTCTAAAATTCTTGAATACTGAAAATATATCAAAATTCTAAGAAGAGCTATTTATAATTCAAACAAAATTAGTATTTTTACAAATATTAACTATACATTTCTTCTGCTGTTTTTGTGATTTATTCTTTGCTCTAGATATTTGGCTGTACTCATACCATTATGGTACAAATCTCAAGAAGGCAACTGTTTTATGAGGTTAATCCAAATATTCAGCGTTAAAGAGGGTTTAAAATTTTACCTAGATGAGCAATGTCATGTGTAGGAGCCTCACACACATCAAAGAAAGAGCGCAATTCTAATTTCCTAATCTAACAGAAAATTCTTTCCAGCATCAATTTTCCCGATAATCTCCTCTGCAAGGGTGGATATTACAGCGACATTGGGTAGGCATGTCACATACATCTCACGACAAACACAAAACCTCATTTACCAGCCATTCCAATCTCATCATAGCACGGCATCATCTGACCTTTTTTCTGCTGTTTATTATGAGTATTTCTAATTTTAACTTTCAATTTTCACCATCTTCCAGTCAATTTGCAACTAAATTATTTTCAGGGTGAGGATACTATCACTGGACAACTGGGTGCAAATACATGTTGAAATGCAATGAAGCTAAACCATTGATTGCTATCAGACCCCGTGTGAATATAGAGTCTAGGCGTAATCTGATTGTATGCTGTGCATGAAGATTTATCTTGATTTTTTTTTTCAATCCACATATGGTTCATATAAATGAACAAATTGCACCTTATTGCAAAATAACCCAGTTTTAATTTAAAAATAAGGTCAAGAATGTTACAGAAACAAAGTAAAAATGAATAAAAAAATGCATTCCTTTTTCTATCCCGGGTAGAGATGCATGTTTAAACCATGTAAACAATTTCAGACATTTTGAATTCTGAAATTTAAGTGTGACTCCAAGAACACCAAAATTAAAATAGAATTTCAATGACATAATGACAATAATGATAGGTACAGAATTACTGCTACATTTTCAAATAACTACACTGATTTCTAGATTTACAAACATTAGATTTTACTTGAATTGGTACTTTTGCCCTGTATGTACATATGCCTTGGAGAAATGTAGATTCCTTCTAGTCATCTGAAAAAAGAACTGATTACATTTGTATTTTAATGTCCTTAAATTTGAGACATAGACTGAAGAAGTTCATCACACTGATTAAACATGAACCAAGTATTTGATAACCAGAGATATGTCATAAACAGGAAATTAATTCTGGCATCAAAGAAATAGATTTTTTTTCTTTCTCAAAACAGAATGTACTTTGTGCTGTTGTATTTAAAATGTTAAAAATAAAAATCCAGGAAAATAATATGATAAACAGTGTTTTCAAATAAAATTTACTACTTAAAGTGTCAGATCAAGTTGTATACAATCATCATCATTTACATCAGGAAACGCCTATCAGTTGCTTTCCCCTTTGAGACAGGAAGTTTTTTTTTTTTAAGTTCCCCATTATTGAGTAAGAATATGCTTCTTTAAGCAAATAATACTGTCATATTCCCTTATCCTTCTTTTGTGTGCATGGTAGAATCAGACATAACCAAACTATAAGCTTGTCCAGTTCCCTATGCTATCAAAGACTGTCACACAGGAGTTAAAAGAGAATTTTCTTGACCCTTGTTGCTTGCAGGCCCCATGGGACATAAGAAATAGCATAATCCTCAGAAACCTTTAAATCTATTAAATGTATAGCTATGGCCTTATTATCATAATCATATATATTCTAATATTGGTACTATACAGGATTAAAAAAATTATTTCAAGCTATGAAACATTTTACTAAAACTACAATACACTGGTGTACATTTTTGGTATAATTGATCCATTTTATTTTTATGCTTATTAATTTTTATTAATAACATAGTTGCTTCTGAATTTAGTGACATTTGTGCTGCATCAAGAAAATAAGAGTTAAGTGTGAGGGTCATTTCATAGCCATTGCAATAACTGTTGGCTATAGTACTCCACTCAATATCCATGTCAACTTCAATATTTTTTGCCTAATTAACTTAGTTAATTAAACCTGATCTTTATGTAAGCTAGGAGCTATGTAAAGACCATGTTATTTTACATAAAGAAGTTATAAATAAAGACTAGAGCCCCCTGGCTGCAGCTAGGCACCTGGAAATGCATGCCATTGATAAGAGGAAGCAGAAATTCTGAGATGTAGTAACATATGATAAAAAACAGACTCTTGAGGATAAGGCAGGTCATCACGATTATTTGAAAACTAATGGAAATCACATTTTATGCAAGTGTGCCTTTTCTGCTTTTCAAAGGGGTGCACTCTCAGGTACTACTGCCTCCCTGGTAAATTACAAGGATTCAACTCTGAGGTCTTTTTCTGAATTGTTTTATTCTAGAAATATTTTACATCTTGAATAAGGGCCAATCAATTTCAGGAAAAATTGATTAAGTTTTGTTATTACTGATAGTTTATATGTTACCTTATTTGAAATAAACCCTCTTCGATACCCTAGACAAAATTTTGAAGTGATATAATACTTCATTTTGTATTATTAAGGACATCACGACATTCTCAAAAAAACATGTCCTTTTAACACATTTAAACTAAAAAAATGAAGTCTAATTACAAATAAGTACTGCCAAATAGATGAGCCAATGATTATCAATCAATTAAGAGATTATTTAACTTGCATGAGATTGCAACATAAAAATGACATAATTCATTTCAATTCAGAAGCTGCTTACTTCATAATTTCCAATCCCTAAAATACAGAAGGTTGTAAAATGGCTTATACTCATAACAAGCGAGGAAAATCCAGTAACACATATATACAAAGCAAATCTTGAAAAAAACAATAAAACAAAATACTAAGGTATTATTTGAATATTATTATGAATCAATGTATTTGATAACATTTGAATACTTAAAACTTGAATGTAACAGAAGATGTTTTTCAATGCCAAATAATTCTAAATTATAATTACCAGTGCAGTATTCTTTGTAATGAGACTGGAATGAAAGGATAATTTTAATTGCAATAATGAAGGTTAATTTCCATCCTTCCTAATGTTTACTCCCTTATTAAAAAGTGGTCCCCTTAGCTGTGGCAGAGACATATTACATTTTCAATGCAAATGTATTAATCTGGATAAACTCTATATTAATTCTTGTACTGCAAAGAGCTGTAATTTGGATTATAATTAATCTAAAGTGGCACTAGATTTAAATGACAATATAAATGAGGCATTAGGAGGCTTTTCTATTATGAATGAATATTCAACAAATATAACTTGTATATTGCCAGGTCTCATTTTGAAAGCTCCAGTCCTGGAGATTAATGTCTGTGACTCTGCACAACAGCTTACACAAACACAGTCTTTCTAACATGTGTTAATACCTTCCTGTCTAAAAAATTCTGTGTTAAAGTGGGGTCACACTGTTTCTCATCTAACACATTAAGACAGCGATTAATTTATGTTTTCTCATATTTTTTGACATTTATAACTGACATTAAGAAAAAACAATATACACATAAGTGGTATATGATCTTTAGAAATATTTACAAGGGAAAAGAATTCCATGAAATAATTTTTTCACTTAACACAATTCAATTTAAAAGCTGAAAACTCTGTTAAAAGTTCATGTTAGTTGTCAATAGCAGGAACTGTCCTGAAGTCTGGGAGGTTTCAAGGCTAACTATTTACACTTCAGTAATTGCTTTGCGTTGGTTTTAAAGCCCATTTTTATCCACTTAGATATACCTGGGGAGGCATTTCTGCAGGGATAAAAATTTGTATTAAACTAGCATTATGCAATATTCCAAATCCTCTCCTATGCTCAAGCCCTGTCTAGATGGTACAGTTAGGGACAATAACTCATCAGGCCATTAGGGAGTGAGGAGCCCATTATTCAGGCAGAGAAGTGAATGTTACTGATGGAGACAGGGCACCTCCATCTTTGGTGTGTCCCAAGTAAGACTCTTCCCTCAATGGTAAGGTTAGAGCCATTTTCAAGAGATTCCCAGAACCCATCTTTACAGGGAGTTAGATATTTAAAACCAAGCATAATATCTTACACCTGAGTATTATGTGAGCACTCATTGAATGCTAATGTGCTATCTGTGTGTTTCACATATTCTTCAGAAGACTGGGAGGGGTCTCTTCTGCAGTCCACTGAGAGAAGGAGGCAACTGAATGCAGGCAGAATCCTGCCCGTCCAGAAGTTAAGCAGCTAGGCTTGATGAGATCCATCCTAGAGAGTGAGTAAACTGACTACCTTGTTATTTCCAACTCTTTTCAAATGAAGTTTAGATGGCACTACCCTTGACCTTACTGGTTGCTAGGTATTTCAAATTTCTTGTCAGTAACCTCAAAGACGGCATACTAACATACAGCTATGGCATCTTTTTTACATTGCTTTAGGCTCAATACCAACCTCCTATCCTCTTTGTTTAAGTCAAATTAGAATCATATGTTAGGCACTACATTCTCGACACAAATTGAAGTGGCGCTTTTTCACTGGACTCCTGAGAGCAATTTAGCATTGAACAGTGTGGGATAGGAGCAGGGAGGCCCTTTGAATTATTTTTGAAGAGAATGCAAAACTAAGATATGCAGAGACAGAATTACAGATGTGGGACAATTCAGGTTTAAATGAACTTATATGTAAAAATGGTATTTTTTGCACAACCCACTATCTTCAGAGTGAAAACGAGCTTCTTTATATGAGGCTGTCACTAAAATTCAAGGAAAAGATAGATGACTACCTGAAACTAATAGGCTTGAACCCGTTTCAGCAGTTCTTCTGCTTCAATGAGTCCAACATAATAAAAGTAGGTATAGCGTACAGCAAAAGTAGCCAATGTAATATTTATTCATCACGACCACAGATTTCCATCTCATACATACAAAGCATGGATGAAGTCATATGTTTGCCAAATCAAACACAGAAAAAGCCTTAGGTATCTCCACCAGATGCTGGCCTAGGGTTTGTTTGTGCACAAGTAAATGTCATGACACAAGGGTTTGTTTTCAAAGACAGTAGCTTTCGTTACTGGGATTTGTCTATTCTAGAAGATCAAAATTATCCAGCACCTAATCCCTTTTCAATGATATTTCTTTTTTCCTAGGCTGAATCACCTGTAAACTTTTTCACTGGATTTGTTTGAAATGCCTCAAATAGATGCCCTTAAAAAGGGCAAATTCTTGAGTGTAAGTTGAGGGGAAAAAAAGCAAGGAAAAATAACATGTATTTTTAGGGTTATATTGTTGGGGGGAATGCCTGTGACTAGATAAAAACATTTTCAAGTGATATCCAATTTTGCGCTTATGAAAAATTAATATGCCATCAGAGGAATCACAAGTATAGCAAAGATTAATGAAAAGTGCTTAAAAATTACAAGCACACAAACTGATTTGATTAAAATATAATCTCTCTGGTCATCCTGTAATATTCTTCAACTTATCCACATCTATTGTGTCAGATGGTTATGATTAAAAATAGGTCAATGGGAGGCTACTGATAGAAGTCACATGCAAAATACACATGCAGTGAATAGTAGTGGAAATGTAAGACAGTTTAAATGAATAAAAGCTTTTAATAAGCATGGGGGCAGGATCAAGGAAGGGCTGATTGGGGAGTGGAGGTGGGGGAAGAAGGGCGAAAGATTCTCACATCTTACCAGGGTCTTTACTGGTGTTTTTGCCTTCACTAGGGCCTCTCTCATTTGTGTCTTTCTCATCTTCCTCAGCCACTGCTGCAGGTTTAATAGGTCCCTCTGCCTCCTCGCTTGGTTCTTCTGTTCAGAAATGCAGACGAGTCAAATAACTACGTGACCATTTAAAAACTTGGTCACTTATGAATCATCTGCAGACATTCATTCTCAAAAAAGAACATAAGTTTATTGACAAGTCTATATTAGAACCTGCTGATGGTACCAATGCGAATTTTTATCTCAGGCAACTTCTTTTATATCCATTGAGAACATGGGCCTGTACTGTATTAAAATAAAAGAAATCTTTTTAAGTATAGTTGAAGCTAGAAAAGCTTGAAAAATGGGTGTAAGGCAGTCCTGTCATTTCAATAGTAGAAGTTTCTAAGCCACATGGACCCCCTGTTCCGTGGACTTGGATAGATGGCAGAACAAACCAAATTCTGAAAAAAAAATTCTCCATGAAATAATGTGATAATGATGGGTTAAATATGAGACAGGTGTTACTCCTGCCTTCACTCGCCAGACCCCAGAGGAATTCTTTGGAATTTGTCAGAGTAAGATCTCAAAAGTTCAGTTACATTGGGATTTGTTTTTCTATAGGGGGAGCTATACAGGGCATAGGACATAAGAAGGTCTATTTCTTCTATGACAACCACATCACCCCACACCTCATTCACGGGTTCACACCAGCTAGATTACATGGAAATCCTCATAGTAACTCAACCCTATTTAATTATTCTGTAAATCTTAGCTATGCCGCTGCTGGTGGATTAATCTGTTTATGCAGTTAGCCTCTGTGCTGGGCTGTGCAGCACTAATCCGTGAAAGGCCCACTGTTCTCTTTCATCCTGTGATCATTTGTCTCTCACTGTGCTGATGTCACATTTTAATGAATTTTTAGCAATCTGAGTAATTCCAGATAACCAGACTTGCAACTCCCCACAGCATGGCATGCTGTTTTCACGGCAGCACAAAAAATAAAAATCATATTCCCCTCTTCAGGTAGGAATTACATAAATTAGGAGAAGAAGGTAAAATGGGATTTGAAGCACCAGGCTGCTCAATTTCATAAAATGTTTAATGACCATATAAATTAACCCCGGAAAGGCAAAAGGTCATCGACACATATGCATACACTCGTCTATTTGCTTTTGATAAGCAGAGCTTTTATGCAGAGAACATGAAACAATTAACCCTTCAATAACCATACAAAATGCTGCTATGGACATTTTAAGTGTCAAGCATTAACTGAAAATTACACACTGCATAAAATTTTCATTGCAAATGCTATAGTGATTGAAAGGGGGAATCGTGGCGCTCTCCACACCCCATGTTTTATTAATAATGTTCTGACAGCAGAATGAAATATCCACTGTCATATGCAGCAGCTGAGCACACACACACACACACACACAAAATGCTATTGAGTGTCTCATTGGCCTGCCTGCTCTGCTACTGTGAGAGCTAGACACAGCACAGGGGACAGGTCTGGGCTCAATGGAGGCGGCTCCCCAAAGCTAAGGGAAAACAGGACACTTATACATTCAAAATAAAAGTTTGCTTCCACCGTGAGTCTTCAAAGACACCACACAAATCTGTTTGTTCTGTGTTGCACTTTGCTGCTGACAAAAACAGTGGAGAGGTCGTTATGGAAGGATTGGTCACCTGAAGGTTTTGGGAAAGTGTCTCTTTCAGGCAAACACACATGAAAGTTGCACTTTAGGAAGAGAGAATGGACACTTCTTAGGGCTCTAGCCTGCTCTCACCAACAGTGATAATTACCAGTCAGACCCAGGCTCCCTCATCCTGCACAGGGCCAGGCTGAGCAGTCAGTGGCCAGCTTGGCTCCGGGGCCAGGAAGGCTGAGACCATAACTGAATGGGGCCATGGTCCCTGCCAATTCCACACATGTGACGTGACAACCAGTGGCAGGCCGCTACCTGTGACAGCCCATAGCAATTACTTTTCAGCTCTTCCTGGGGAAGAAGACAAGACTTCTTTGAGTAGATTTACTGAACCTTTCCCCCAGGGCTGGAAAATGAAGTGTCACCAGGCTACCAGTGTCCTTATCTTGAGGGGACATAAAATTGTGAGGGCTATCGCAACTCACATTAATAAAACATGGGGTGTCAGGAGAAGAAAATGAAAATTATGAAGGTACTCCAAGAAAAACTACAGTGTAATATGGGTCTCATCAGACGGTTTTTGCAGGGTCTCCGATTCTTCATTTTCTAGTATGTGTTTTAAGGGCGAGAGAAATTCCCAGACATGTTCCTCTATACATCACTCTGGTGTCTGACCTCAGCCTGACCCTGGCAACAGTTTGAGAAATCTGAATGTGAACAAAGCCTCTGTGTCAGCAGCACGGAGAGACTCTGCCATCAACTTAATCGCAAACAGCAGTTCTGAGGCCATAACATTGCCCAGCTAGTCCAAGCCACAACTCAGAGCCTCTGGAGGTGGATTTGCCTGCACAACCTCTGCTTCTAGGATTCCCCCCCTACCCCACCTCTTTTCTGGCTCTTCCTTTGAAATAGGCAGGCAATTAGCTCTAATGCTCAAGCAATTCAGACCTGTTTTGTGGTTTCCAAGGCAAGAGTTGTTTATTACAGGTAGGCGCTTTGGAGCTATAGAACTTTGCAAAATTTTAATCATGCAAAAAATAATCAAAGGGTAACTTATATCCTCCATAAAGTTTCATACAAGTCCAAAAAAGAAAGTTCACTTTCCTTCTTAAGGGGGGTTTTAAAAATAAAGTTGACATTCATTTTATAAGTAGACTTTAGAGTCAGGAGTATTAAAGTGGAGAAACCACTCTCTAGAAAAACTGTACATTGGATTTGGGGTTACGGGAGGAGTGGCTATGTTCTAATTTTCAAGTACCACTTTCCTCCATTGTAAAATGCCATAAAGTATAAGATGCTTTGTAGGAAGCAAAAAATATGCATATGACATTAAATGTGTTAAAGGGATGCTTCAGCACTGAAGGAAATTACATAAATTCCATTACACAAAATTCCAAAATAAAGGTACTAAACTGCATAAAATTCCAAAACAAAGATGGTAATACAGTTTTCTTTTTATCAGTAAGTTTCTTCACCAATATAGTACATGTAATAATGATAAAAGTATTATAACATTTCATAATACTGTTGTATTCACAGTGTAAGTATCAATTTTTTGCCTCATAGAATATAAAAATACAATATGTATTCATATATTAAACTTCATAATATAAATGTACTTAACCTTAAAGTGTGCATTGGGGTCCAGTAGAACTTGCCAGTTTTCAGCCAAATGATAATATGTTTTTATTTTTAAAAGTTTTGAAATAACACTGTAGTCTACAGTACAATTAATTTCCCCAGTATTTTTTTTATCATGGCTAAAATAATGATCTTATAAGTTATTTTGTACATATACATAAACTATATTTAAAAGAAAAGTTTTGAATGACTAGCTTAGAGTATTTTCATTTGAATAATACGTGATTAGAAAATCACAATCAATTTATTCTAAAAATTATAATATACATTTTTAAGCATATTTACTCTAGTGATGTACCTCTGATCAAAGCACCAGCCAACTGTGCTTGGTTCCCATGGCTTTATTATACAATGGGTTTGGGAACCTTCTCTTCTGAGTCTTCTAAAAAAAAAACATTGCACACTTTTTAGCCCATGGAGTGATCATGTAAAGGGGAAGCAGAGGATAGTAAAACTTAAACATCTTTAGTTTTATATACTGAACAACTCTTCAAAACATTTGGCTTATAAGAATTATTCCCTGGATTCCTGTACTATCTCCCTGTCCAGTCCTACCACCAACCTCCAAATCTATCTTCTGTATGATTTGCTTAAATCTACTTAAAATCTTTTAATGACTCACTACAAGAAAAAATTCAATCTTCTGTACATGGTAAGAACACCTCTGAGATACCTGGTCCTTGTCCACCACTCCAGCATCATTTTTCTTTACTTCCAACCTGGCACTTAATATTCCAAACAAAAACAAAACAGAATTAAAGAAAAAAAATTTATATCATCAGAATCATCTGAAGGACCTGTTAGAAATCAGATTGCTGGGCTCCACCCCTGGAGTTTCTGATTCAGTAGGTTTAGAGGGAAGCCTATGAATTTACCTCTGTGTTCCCAGGTGAAGATTACGCTCCTGTTCCAAGGACCACATTTCATGAACCACTGTTCTAGAAACGTGTGAATCTTATTAATGCCCCCTTTCTATATATACCATTATATTTCCCTGTCTTATCTAGGACAATTTCTTTCTACTATATAACTGTTTTTTCCTTCAAGTCTACCTTGGGAATTACCAATTTTATCATTTGTAAAAATGAAATTAATAATGCTTACCTCATAGGTTTGTTATAGGATAATGCACAAAAATTTGTCAACACAGAGCCAAATATTTTAAAATGTTAGCTGTATTATTACTACTACTATTAATTATTTCTTCTCTGAAAAGTGTTCCCTGAGTCTTGAACTGGGGTTAATATTTCTGAATAAGATTGTCTTCTTTTGCTCTGGCTGATGTGGCTCAGTGGATTGAGCACCAGTCTGCAAACCAAAGGGTTGCTGGTTTGATTCCCAGTGCAGGGCACATGCCTGGGTTGCAGGCCAGGTCCCTGATAGTGGGTGCATGAGATGCAACCACACATTGATGTTTCTCTCCCTCTTTCTCCCTTCCCCTCTCTAAAAATAAATAAATAAAATAAAATGTGAAAAAAAATTTTCTTCTTTTTTCTGTATATAGATCTCAAACAACTCACCATAGTATGTGGAAATTATCCATGAACTGCTTATTTTCCCTAATAGCTGCACATTTACTGAAAATAGTGATTATCTATTTCTCCTTATGCCAAAGCCCCTGGAAAAGTGCCTAGAATATAGTGGGCAGGCAATACAGGTTAGTTGAAACACTAAATTGAATTTAGGAAGCAAAATTAAGAGAGGAAAAGGAGGCATCCAGACTCTATGCCATTCATCTATTCCCTTTCAATAAAACTTAAAAAGGAGTATTGTTTGTTTGGTTTGGTTTCAGTCTGCTTTGGGAGTCTTTGCATTTTCTCTTTCTACTAAATCACATTCATTATTCAACTTTTCCAGTCTGGCTTCACACCAATTGTTCTACTCAAAACCACCAATGATCTCCATGCTGTGAAATTCAATGTCACATCTGGGTCTGCTCAACAGATGTTATCACACCCTCCTCCCAGGGACCACACTTGACAATCCCTGCTCTAGCACCACATTACCTCTTTTACTTCCTTAATCACATTTACTGAAATCTGAAAATAACTTACTTATTTTTACAGAAATATTGTCAAAAATATTATTCATGACTTATGCCCAGCAGTCCCTGGCACTAATATTTTGAGTAAAGATGATGGCTCCTAGTTTTCTTACTTGTGGTGACTAGGTCTATGGCATTGAAGTCATCAATTGAAATGGAAGAAAAGAGAAGAAATAGTTTCATAGAAAAGAGAAGTTCAATTTGATATTTATTATATTTGACTTCCCTGTAGAACATCTCCATGGAAATACCCAGAAGGCATGGGAGCATCTAAATACAAAGCTTCAGAGGACTGAGGTGAAGATGGACATTTTGTAAACAAAAACAATAAAAAATGTGTTGTCAGGGAGTGTACCTTTATCGTTTGGCATTTTTTTTGTCCTAGTTTGGATTTAGCCCTATTATTTCCAATCAGGTCATTAAAGAAATCTTTTGATTGGTTTGAGGTAGGGAAGGCAAATTGGGCTTGTGCTATTTTATCTTAAATATGCTCTCTAGGGAAAAATAACATATACAATAAAAATGTTTTCATGAGACATGTATAGGTGAAGGTAAATTTTGAATGATTTTTTAAGAGGGAAATCCTGAATTTATATTGGAGGAATGTTTTCACTTTCCTCCAAACTTTTTTTTTAAGGGTTTCAATACCCCATTATGAATGTGAAGGACTTTATAATCATTTTTTTGTTCTATATAATACATTATTATTCTAATGTATAAATCTGGGAACTGGGATCATGTTTATATAGCAGAAATAAATGAGGTGTGTTGTAGCAACATGGGTGAGTTTCCTCTTAAATTATCTGAATATAATGCAGTTAACAAGGCATGGCTGCCATTTCTTAACATACACATATATATACAAAGCACCAGGACTAGTAAATGTGTTGACATGGCTACACAAAATCCAATCAACCATTTAATTACCAAAAACAACTGCACCAACCAGGTTGTTTTAATTGTGTAAAAATAATATCTGGCCTACTGGCTTCTATTTTGTATAAAACTGACCACTTCGATGAAACTTCATAGTGTATAAATGCAGATGTGAGAAATTATCCAGCAGATGTTACTTATTCTTTAAGAAGTCACTTTACATATAGGTCCAAATATATAAATATATTTGCTTTTGCTGTTAACTTATTTGTATAAGGGATGTGATCAGATCCAATTGGAGCAGTTTCAGAGATCTATTTGTTAAATAAATTATGAGACTAAGAACTGTAACTCACTTAGGAACGAGAGACATGATTTTGAGAAGGAAGATACCAGTTACCTGAGGTTGCTCTTAGCTGCTGCTCCGTCAGGTCATCCTCACAGGTCCTGGCTCCCACAGAGGCAGATTCTGCAGAGAACATCAGAGAGAGAGGTAATCAGCTCTGCAGTCATAGCCAATACCACAGGAACCCAAATTTGGCTTTCAATGAGATAAGCATCTGATGGAGCTCCGGGTAGCCTCGAGTACACCTTACAACCTGGTAAGCAATGGTTAGCAAGATGAATCCACACAGGGCTGAGCTTAAACTGAATTCTCAGTGATCAGCAGCACACAACAAACACAACAATATAGATCAAATATGGAAGCAGGAAAGGCTCATTCTTATTTTTACCTACCGGATATCTGGCCATGCCTACATTATAGTGTTATGTGTTACAATGACAATGACAAACTACATAAATTGTGAGCATGCTTTTACTTCTTTGTCAAAGTAGCAAAAAAGAAAAAAAAATTTCAAGATATGATAGCTGATGTGAGCCCAAAAAGAAGCACTTATGAAAACCTGAAGAATATTTCCAAGTCATCAATAAACCCACATCTTTAATATTTTTCTGAGTTCCACAGTCAAGCGCCACCAAAAGTGTGGCTTGCTAAACTCAACCAGAAACAATACAAATCATTATTTTCATCCAATTCCATGACTCCTTTGCATTCCTTATTGTAGGAAAATCTAGAAAAAACAACTAGACCTGAGAAATCACCTTCAATACCTCATTCTTTCTCCACTGAGTCATCACATGCTATTGGTTCCATTTTACAATGTTCTCTGTCTTGTGTGTTTCTTTATTCCTCTATCATCTTCTCATTCCTCAAAATTTCATAGCCTCCATAGCAATCTCCTTGCCTCAAATACTTGCCTTTCCAATGTAATCTCTCATAAAATCTTTTGAAAAATATATTTTTCAAAAATACAGATTGCATGAGTACCAATCATGGCTCTTCCACTTTCTATGTATGGAACCCTAGTAAGGCTTAATTTCCTCATTTGTGAAATGCAGCTATAATTGTAGAAATAATCAGCAATGCAAAAGAAAATAATACAAATGTGATTTGGTCCTCCAAGTGGGAAAAAGCCAAATCTTATTGAGAGATTTAAAAGGTAGTCACACAATTCTTACACTGACAGAGAGACTCATGTTTATCTAATATTTCTAGGCAATGGCATCTCTGGTTGATTCTGAAGGCTTTAATTAAGGAAATAATTAACCTTGAAAATAGAAGTGCAACTAAGGCACTATTATTGCATTTACTAATTGTTTTTTCTGCTATGCACAACATATTTGGCCTTTGGTGGTAATCTGTTTAAAAATAAATATAATCATAATAAACACTCGGTGCTTTCCTACCACCAACAACAAAAATTTATTTTCATGTAACATCGTCTTACATTTGTCTTGAAAGGATGAATTTCTTTTCAGTTCTTGCTTATAAGTCCAGCAATAACTTACAAATAGATCACACTATTGATGTCCATCCAATATGTCACTTAAGAAGCTCACTTTCTTCCTTGTGTTCTCTTGTGTCTTTATCTTTTGATCAATGTTGTCCTTGTTATTTTTTAAATTTTTAAATTTCTTTTTGTTTTCTCATGTTAAACCCTGATTCTGCCCCCAAAACCAAAAGCAAGTGTTACCTCCTCCCTGTTCCCATAGCAATTAACTTATATGTATTTGACAGGCATTGGTGTCTATTTTTGTTATAATTGAAAAAGCTTTGAATTTAGAGTCTTAAAGTTCTGAGATGCTTTATAAAATTATCATCTTGAGATTCAATTGTTTCAAGATATAGGATATACATATTTCAGCACTTATCATGATGCATTGAGGTAGCAGTTTACATGATCCATGAATAGCACCCCAATTATTTGTGAGTTCCTCTAAATTTTTCATCTTCATAGATTCTCAGCTAAAGACAGAGTGAGGCATCCCAAAGTCACCTAGGACACTTTTATTTAGAGTGCTAATCTATACCCTGTATCCTGAAACAGAGGAATACCAAAAGAACAGTGATTCCTGTAACATATATATGAATATGTGTGTAAAACCATTTCTTTCTACCTTTTCCAGCAAAAATAAACAATTTATCAAAGAACTCTTACTGTCACACACACACACACCATCAGTGTATTAAATAGACTTGTCCAAATAGGACATCAGTGGTGCTTCACTGAGCTGTACCAAATGACTGCCATCTTTAAAGATACATGGAAATAAAAATAAAATAATGACAACTTATTAGCTTTGTATCTCTGCTAGGTACTGTGATAGCTATTCGTATAAAACTGTCATGTATTCTTCACAATGAAATCATGAGGCATTTATTAATCCTTACTTTACCAATCAGGAGACTGGGGCTCAGAGGGTTTAAGGTAAATCATTCTGCCTGTGAGTCTCCAAGCGTGACCCTGACAGAGTTTGGAATGAAACCCAGGTGACCTGGCACAAAAGTCCGTGTGAAATTTTGGGTGTGTCCTGTTACAATAACACAATATTTAGGGGCTTATAAAGGTTTTCTGTCTTAGTGAAATCCAGAAACCAAGTGGGAAATAAAACAAAGCAACTGCTCACTAGTCTTGTGAAAATTCTGATATTTCATAAAATATGTATATTCTTTGAATATAAAATATAACCAAATAATCGTTTGTTGCCAAATGGAAATCACTTATTTGAGAGTGATTTAAGAAAATGTACAAAATGTCAAAACCAGAAACTGTTATTTAACCTCATAAATTAGGTCACATGGCACTTGGATTCTGCTCCAATGAGAATGACTTGTGCAAGCAATTTCATAAATGAATTTCATTGAGTATGCCACCGAATTTTTTTTAGATTCTCACCAGTGTTGCTTCTTGTATATAAATGATAAAATATTTTAATAAAGGGGCTTTAGCTTATCAAACAAACTGGTATAACCTACACTTCTCTGCCAATGTAAAATGAATTGTGTGAAACCTAGCAATGACACATAGGATCTTTCAATATTTCACCCTCATAATTGCTCTGTAATAACAAATCTGACTACTATTAACATGCTCTGTCCCTTTGGCTGGTTACTTAATTATATGATTATTTTGCGTTCTCTAGCACCTGACCTTTCAGGTTTAATACTATTAAAAATAATACCACTGACAATTTATACTGTATTCTACTCTATTCTGTCAATTTGGTGATGATCACAAATTTGAAAATGGTACCAAATTACTCTCTATTTGTGAACACAACGTGTGTCGCATCTTTCTGTGGAAGAGTGTATCGCTCACCAGGAACGCCACCACCACCACCGTTTTACAGAGTGCTTGCTCTGTGCCAGGTATGACGGATGCCATTCATTTGCATTAAGCCACCCCAAGCAACTGGGGGAGATATGATCTGAACCCACATAGCTTTATTTCAGGGATAATTCTCTTAGCCACAATGACATACTGAGCCATACATTTAAAATCCTAAAAGTTGCTTTCCTCTTAATTCCGCAATTATTTCTCATTTCATTTTTTTCATCTCATTGGCTTGAATTCTGCTAACCCCTTATTCCCTTAGCCTAATTCAAATGGTTCCTTCTCCCAAGACAATGCTTAAAAACCACGCTTTGGGAGTTCCTCTTCCCTCTAATTGGTGAGAATGGGAGGTCTCACAGCTCTCTCTCATTTCCTTGCACTGAGACATTCCCCATGAACTCTCCATCTCATTTCTCCTTCTCACCTTTCCCTTCCCTTATGTGAGTAATATTTATTCTGGTAAGTAAACTGATAACTTTCAGGCATCTAATCTTAGTTCAAAAATCAAGCTCTCATTTTCCAAATCTCTTTTTTTTCCCTACTACATAGAATAATATTTTTTTATAACTATAAGTATTAAAAACCTGACGGTCAGGGAAAGATCTGGAATTTTTATATTATAAAACAGTCTAGATACATAACAGAATTCTAAGTTTAAGGTTTTTTGTTGTGTTTTGGGAATAAATGTAATCTAATATGCACCTGATGATTGCAATGGCCATGTGCTTTTTATATTCTTATCAGCAAAATTTGGGAAGCATTTGGCATCAGTTCAGTAGAAAATGGAATTTTTAAAACAATGGGTGAATATTTAAGCTGCCAAGTATTGTACTAGGACAGTATTTGCCTACAAAAGTTCCACATCCCGCCCCCTTCCACTTGTATTTGTTTAATACATTAAACAATAAGGTGTATCATTTCTTTTAGCAAAATGTTTGACACATAAAATAAAATAGATATAGCCAAACAGAATAAATATTAAGCCAAATAGCCTAAAGTGATTAAAAAGAAAGAAAAACATTTTCTGTATCCTGTATCCCAGGTAACATTCTTAGTTCCGCTTCACTTTGATCCATTTTAAAAAATGACCCCAATTCTTACTTTTTAATTAGAGAATAAGATGAAATTCTAAGAGTTCACAAGTTTCAACAATGCTTCTGGGTCTTCCTCATTTCCCTTTTGATGTCCCTCCTACCTCTAACACAGCTTTGTGACTCATTGTAAAAGGGTGTTTCACAAACTCTGTGAATACAAAAAAGAAGATATCTGCAGCTCCTTCAGAATCATGAGTGAACATTTGTTGGAAACCTGTTAGGTGCTAAACATGTAAACATGTATTTCATTACTCAATCCTTGCAGTAAATCTATAACAGAAAAACCATTGCTTTTATAGAAGAGATGAGATATAAAAAGTCAGTAATTCTTTTCCAAAGGCACAGAGCAGCGGAGGAAGGATTTGGACTGAGCCTGTCTTGCCCCAAAGCTCTGTACTATCCTCTAAACAATGCTGCCTCCAGGCAGCCCCTGGGACTCCTAGATTCGGAAATCTAAAATCTTTGAATTTCCTACCTCCTACAAAAAAACCAGCTCAAACTCCTTCAAAGCAAATCTATCACAAGATCAATATTTAAAAGAACACATCAAATTCAGCATGTATTACCATCTTGGTAATTTACATTTTAATAAAGACCTCTGAACTGGCTTGTGTTCTGCAAAAGCAAAGCCTGTTTTCAGATATGGCAAGTTTACAATTAAAAATGGTTTCAAGTGGTCTTCTCCATCCTTTTCCTAT